GTGCGCTAAAGAAAGAAAGGCAGCGGCAGTCACTACTCTTTTAGGCAGATGCCATTCATTAAAGGGGACAAGTCAAAAGACCCCGGGTGGGCAGAGCTCTCAACTCTGCCCGCCGTTTCTTTGTAACCGCCAATCGGCACCGGCCCTCCCCACCGCCTCTAATTTCCCGCAGACGCGTAATCTGGCCTCCTGTTGCTGCAGCAGTCGGACCGCTCGCTCCGCGTCCTTGGTCGCTGGCGCTGTATCTTCCTCCCCCCTTAATGCCAAGCTCCACCAGTGTTATGTGTCACTGAGCACACTCTGTAAATTACCACTCCCTCCTTTCCTCTCAGGTGTGTCCAGTTAGTAAAACGGGAAATGGCGGAGTCTCTCCAGAACATGCAATATAAAAAATAGATAAGCACACTTCACATTAAAACACAGCAAAGCAAAACATCATCCGTATGTATCTTCGGTAAACCATACAGACTTGGTGTAGATTCCCCTGGGTATAGCCTGTGGTATGATGTCCAGTCAATAGAATTGTCTTGTTCTAACTGATTCAGACAATCTAGCACCCTCTTCCTGTAGCCACTTCCTGGGTCTCGTTGCAGGGGCTCATAAGTATTTTCATCACTGAGCAGTGATAAAATTTTCTCATGATAGTCTATCTAGTATTTGGGGGTTGTTCTTGATAAGGCTCTGTCCTTTGAGTCTCATCTTGCTGCTACAGTGAAAAAGGTTCAACAAAGACTGTACTTTTTAAGGAGGTTTTAATGTTTCATCTGAAATGATGACTCTTTTTTATAAAAGTTTTACTGAATCTGTTTTAACCTTCTGTATCATTGCTTGGTATGGTAGTATGTCCTTGAATAATAAGACCAGACTTAGCAACCTGGTTAAAGTGGCTGGTCAGATTTCAGGGAGGTCTCAGGTCCAGCTTGTGGAGTTTTATAACTGGAGGAAGGCAAGCTCTGTCTTGTTGTGTTCAGATCATCCTCTCTTTAATGATTTTTAACTGCTTCCATCAGGTCGTCGTTATAAAGTACCTGCAGTGAAGACAAAGAGACGTAGATTGTCTTTTATACCTACTGCTATTATCATGGTTAATAACACTAAACCGTATGTGTTGTTGCCATTGCACATTGCACTTTTGTTGATGATAAAATTTTGTTATTTTTCTCTGGGTTTATTTTTGGGGGGGACAATAAAGTTACCATTGACCATTCTGGTTTAGCAAAACTGTGCACCTATACCCTTGTCTGCCGGAAGGATGATAATGTTGTTGTCATTACTAAGTGATGCGAGTGCCTTCTTCTTCTCCATGGTGATGCTGGATGCTGGGAGCTTTGCATTGTTGAGACAGGCTGAAACTTTCATCTGTAGTTGCTCTGCTTCCACTTCAGCAATATTGTTGTTTTGAATTGCTGTTTCTGTGGCTGTGATCAGCTCCACTAGCTGGATTTGTCTCAGCGTGACAGGAAAATTCAACCCTTTAGCAAGGATGTTTTTCTCTGTTTGGGTGAGCTATCTGTCAGACCAGACAAATTCTTCGCCCACTTGTCCACATCCTCAGTGTCACATCCTTCTCTCTTCTGGCTGCTGAGGACACTCTGTTTATAAGATTGGGGAAACCTGCAGCCAGCTGGGGCTGAAGAAGTCACTTGGATGAGTGACGAAATGTTTCTCCCGCTGAAAACACTACTTCCAGATGAACAGTATCAACTTTTGGAGATACGATTTTTAAAACATCAGAAGAATTAAGCCTGCATACATGAAGTCTCACAGTGTGTGCAGACTGTGAGACTTCATGTAGGTGGTATAAAAACGTGTAAGGTGTAAGGTGTGGTTCACGCTTTTCATGAACTATGTTCTTTGTTTTTCAGGGGAACCACTGAGGAAGAGATCCTCTTTATTCTCTTCTGAGGCTCCAAAGACTCGTCTGTAAATAAATGCCTCACCATCAGCTGACTCACAAAGCCTGCAAAGACTTTTAAAATGTGTTTTTAAGAAAAAAACATCACTGAAATACAAATTACATAAATAAAACAATAAAAATTAAATACATTTTTATTGTGATAGTTACTCTTTGTACAACTGAAAAAATGGGAAATGAACTTTTCTGGGCCCATTAACTCTAAAAATTAAACAGACCCCTCATAATTTAGCCTCTTATCAATTTTGGATTAGCTCTCATATCAAATATGTCCACAAATGATTCATATGCCTAAAAACATGGATCCATCCTAAATTTTGCCTTTACACATGATTTACTGATAACAGCAATGGTTTTGGATCAAAATACTCTCTTCAGTGTTCAACATGCTTCCACTACAGACTTCTTTTCGTGTACTTTTATACATGTTGTATCTTGTTTTTTATATACAGTTCATCTGCCTTTAACTGGAGTCCAGATGCAGAATTTGAGTTCCTATTTAAAATATACTAAGAGGTTATTTCAGGTGTTTTTGTCTTCAGTGAGTATTACAGTTTTACACAGTAAATCAGCCAATGAGATGACACTAAAGACAAAATAGGGGCTTGTTTTTGTTTTGTTAAATTGTCCTTTTTTGTATAAGCTTCTTTGTAGTAACATCTTCAGTACAAAATCTTCCCCACAAGATAATATCTTTGTGACACCCTGCCTAACGTCTCTTGAGAGACAGGAATGAATATTATGTACACACACACGTGCAATCCTGACAATTCTGTTTTACATACCCATATGGAAAAGAAAAACTTATAAAAAGACTTACATCAGCTTTAGCTTGCTTCATATAGTGAATCATATAAGGCTTATATGATTTACTCATGAAAGTGGACACTTTCATATACTGTTTAAGTAAGTATCCAAAACATACAAGTTCCATTTATGTAATTTTTCAAGGGATCTTATATCTGTTTTCACTCTTGTATGCTTTCCATACAAGTTTTACACAAGACAGATACAAACCTTTATAGATTTATATATTTATCTTTTCCATATGGGTATCTTTATGTTTTTCAGAGGCTGTTTTTTCTCACTTATGAGAATGGCAGTTGGTCACTATAAACATAAATTTATAAATGATTATGGCGATTGGTTGCTAATTAGTTACTAGGAGCTGGGTCATGACAATATGTAACCAAAATCTATCTTTCAGCTCTAAATGAATGATAACAATAAATCTCAGTGAAAAACAGGATCATTTTGGGGTGGGAGGACGTGCCAGGATCGTGACATTTTGAACAGTATTAATGCACAAGTCTTTACATCTTAATTGTTACACATTTAATGTGATACACACAAAGGGTTAGGCTTTTGTACTTGTTTAGGTGAAGGTGGTTGATTTGAAGTAAATAAGGTGGAGCCACAACCCCTGACTGTGAGATGTGATGCTTTACGTATCCACACCAGCAGGAAGCTGTGGCCTCTGTGACAGAGGTGTGACTTAACCTTCTCAGGCCACCATTGAGCCAGTGAGTATATCAGCAGCCAAGTATCATGGAGGTCATCACACTTTGTGCTATTGTTGGTGAGTACTGTATTTATATGTGAGTGCCGTCTGAAATCCACTTTAGCGGCTGACTAATGTGTTTAATTTGTGCTCTATAAAGACAATAAAATTCAAATAACATCAAAATTTAGTCTGGGCTGTGATGAGGAAGTGGTTTCTTTTACAGTTCACTTTCACATCTGCTCTCACAACTGGAGGCAATGTGACACGATTTAGCAGAAGTAGCAAATATTTGAATTTTGATGTTTAAAGTTTACTAGTTTTTATTTATTTTTTTCTGGTGTGTGTTGAGAAAATATTCAACTTTAGTTCAAGGATGTTTAAAGTCTTAAAGGCTAAATTAGACCAACTTTATTCATTGTAGCAACTTTTGATTTAACCCTTTAAAACCGGTCAGAGCTGGCACGCTCTGTTTTGCGTAACTATTTTTAGATTGCAGTAGCACTGCAACCACATAAGCTAGTGCAATAATTTTTTTTGCATATGAAACCGGAGGAGTTGTACTTATATCTTGTGCCATCAGCTTGTCCTAGGTCACGGTTTCCTTCCACATATAGCTTTGCAAAAACTGCATAAAAAGCGCTTGCAGGCACAAAAACATAATATTCCAGAAACACGCTTTGCCGATCCAATCAGCTGTTCGTAACACTTCCTACGGTGGAATAGACGTTAGAGCGAACTTTCGCATGTCCGCCATTACCTGCCCAAAACCGGAAGTTACGTCATTGTCGTGGAAATGTAGTTTGTTTATCATCAGGGCCTGAGAGCCTATACTGCTCTTTTTAAAAGTTATCTTTGACTTTATGACTTTCTGTGTCGTTTCTGGGATGCTTAGGACTCATATTGCACTGCTGGAAATAGTTTATTTTGATGCATATGCTGCTTTTTTGCAAATTTGCACTACAATATTTATTTTCGTTTTTCCTGCAGTATATAAAAATTGGTGTATTTCAAAAATAAAACTATGAAGACACTCAAAATAAATTTCCTGTGGTAGGAAACTATTTTGTGCAACTTTTTTGTATTTACAGTTTTGAGGGATAAGCCTCTTAAATTTCTCTAACTACAAATATATGTTAAAAAAGCAAAAACGATTTTCAATTTTTTTGCAGTTTATTGCACTTTTTTTGCAATTTATGTAATTACTATGCACCTAATGCATACATATTATTAAAATTTGGGCTATAATGGTAGCATTGATGTATAGCAACTTGAAATGCTCCCAAAAATGGCTCCACAGCATGTAAAAATATAATATAAGCTCTGGCGGACTTGGTTCTATGGTAGGTCTTAAAGGGTTAATGTATGGTTTAGGCACTTTATTTTCAACTTCATAGACATGGACAATAGTATGAAAATACTCATAAATTATCATTCCTGCAAAGTATGCCTTTGTGTCAGTAAATAAGAATGTTTCCACTAATAACCTAAATATATTTGTGCATGTGTAACATGTTTAATTAAAAATCTGAGCTTTCCATCATTTATCTGTTTTGTGCAGCTTCTCTAAGAATCATTCCCAACAAATCCCAGTTCTTCCAGTATGAGTCTGTCTCCATGAGCTGTGGGCAGCAGGACAACTCCTCAGTGTGGCGTATTAAGAGGAACACGTCCTTATACATAAACACAACATGTCCCTCATCCTCAAATGGAATAGATGAAACTCACTGCTCCATCAGTGACCTTTACCCAGCAGACACTGGAGTTTACTGGTGTGAGTCTGCAGCAGGCGAGTGCTTCGATGCTGTCACCATCACAGTAACAGGTAGGTTTCCACTAAGATATTTTTCATTCCTCTGTTAACAATGGACTTAAAATATGAATCTAATTGTCAGGTCACGTGTTTCAAATTCTTTCTTTTTTAAAAATATTTTGCATTCCTGTTCTAAGGACTCTAAATGAATGATGATGAAAAACAAACTCATGTAAAGATGTCAACATCTGGCAAGCTAATAAAAGCAGTTCAGTTGTGATTCAGGGCTTCGAGAAATGCTGTTGTGGAATATACTGCAAACTGTCTGTGGTAGGGAGGTATTCAACGTGAAGAATCATAATTTAGAAAACATAAACTTTCCTTGCAAAGTTTATTGGGGATAACAGAAACAAAAAATACTTCCAGCTTGTTGAGCACCTCTGTGTCCATTTGCTTACAGTCTGCTTGAAGACATAACTCTCCCACCCTCTGCCCAGCTCAGTAGTCTTAAATAACGCAATGTTTGCATTTGTCCCGTCCTCCTGCTTTCCCGGTGACACTGCTGACATACCCAGTTCTATTAATTAATATTAACCTGACAGAGTGCACATGCATGTTTGAGTATAATGTATGTCTTAATGTACTTTCTCATTACTTAATTAACTTAGATTTTTTTATACCAGCATGGATTCTTGATTTTGTAAATTTATAGCGTGACAAGAAGAAGAAGTTTTGCTCTTTGTTGGTTTGTTTGTTTGTTTCAATTAAAATAGCCAGAACTGAGTAGACTCCAGTATCACGTTGACCTTTTGCATATTTGTGTTTCAGCTGGTTCAGTGATCCTGGAGAGTCCCGTTCATCCTGTGATGGAGGGAGATACTGTAATTCTGAACTGTAAATACATGGCCACTCTCTATGATAATGTCATAAGTGAATTTTACAAAAATGAGCTTCTTATTGGGCGCAGCTCAACAGGAAACATGACTATCTACAGAGTCTCTAAATGTGATGAGGGACTCTACAAGTGCAACATCTCTGGAGCAGGAGAATCACCTGACAGCTGGATGACTGTCAGAGGTAAGAATATTATTATTATTATTATTATTATTATTATTATTACTTTGTTTAACTGTAGAGTGAATTTTATTAGGAACAAATGTATACTGGCTAACACCTACTGAATCTAAGCTGCTTTAAATTGATCAAACTGCTCCTGGCAGTGTGATGATATCAGGATGGTCGTATTTTGAAAGTTTTGTTGATGACTATGTGAATCGCATTTAACAACATAACTGTTGGCTTACAAAGATAAATTCATCTAATCTTTTACTTATATGTGCTATTTTACGTCAAAAAATGTATCCTGACAAGTACCAGTACAGACTTTGCTGGTACTTGATGGGGTAATAAAAGTAAAAGTTTGATTGTGAAGCGGTCCACTCCCTGCTGTCAATGTTCACCATCTTAGATACAGAGAGGAAGTAGGAGTAAGATGATTATGCTCATGCAAGTTATCCAGTTTCATCACCTGTTGACATTACATATGTTCTGGCATTGTGCAGTAATGGTTATGCATGTTAATTTGTCAAAACAGCAGAATTCCTCGACATCTTCAGAAAGTGTGACGTCTCACACATTGAAGGAGCGTTGTGGTTAAGCTTAGACTTCACAGCCTTCTCCAGTGACAACAGTGAAATCCTGTAAACTGGATGTGTCATGCATGTGCAGCTGACAGATTTAAGGAGGTGAAATGGTGCAATGATGTCAGGGGACTTTCTTTTCTGTTCCTGATAAATTGGTTGGCAAATCGAAGGATCCTCAGTTCTGTTCTGCCCTAAATCACTGATGATGAAAATAAAGAATAATAAAGAGCCATGTACACAGTGGACATAGTTGTTTCCATCATCATGCTAACCTGTGGTTTTTGTGCTTTGAAGCAGGACATCTTGAACTGCGTCATCCTGGCCTGACACACTTTCGGTTTCCTGTGGCTTGCATCTTCCTCTTATTGTTCTCAGCTGTTCTGCTCAGCCTCAGCAGCAAAGGTATGCATGCAGAAGAAATTACTATCTTGTGAGATATGAAGAGTAACAATCAGAAGACTGTTAGTTTCACTCCGCTAAAATATTGTAAATGAAACAAATAAACATGTGTCCAACTTTTATCATTTAAATGCTCTGCAACACTTTGCTTGTTTGTTTTTTTGCTGCAGGTAAAATTGACCCTGTGGTCGTGCCGTACACTGAAGTCATCTACACACAAAAGTGCAGGAGAAAAGGTTAACACACATATACAGAGACCTTGTTATTAATCTAAATAGTAATAATAATAATAATAATAATAATAATAATGGCACCAATTCAAATTTAAACATTGAGTCCCACAATCCAGAAATGACTCATATGAGTGAAATGCCCCCGACATGTTGGTGCTAAGCACACTCATTTCCTGTCTGGTCATTTGCATCTTTACTTTTTTCTTTTTTTTGTTAGGTCGACGACTGAGGAAGAGGTCCTTGTTGTTATCATCTAAGGCTGCATACAGATGCGTTTGCACACACACGTCGTGCACTGTGCTGACATATAAAGCTGACAGCTGATGAAGAGATAACGGTGATATGTTTAAGCACTTTAACCCACTTTGTGGTCCACACTGCACCTGCAAAGAAATATACATATTAAAAAGAAAGAACGAAATAAAGAAATACACTAGAACTGGAAATCCTCACTGGCCTCTTTTTAAGTAAACCCATTTAAGAAATAAATAAATAAAAATAATAATATATATATATTTTTGATAATGGTGGTCATGAATGAACTCTGTGTTGCATTTTAGTTTGTGTACTAAACGTGTTTTTTTTTCCTTGAGTGCATAAGTGCAGAAAATTGACTGCCCCCTGTTAACTTTAAGATAAGATCACTTCTGATTCTGCCTTCACACAAAATGTAATGACACACACTGCATGCTCACAACATGTTTTATGTAGAGAATTTGTACACTATTTATATATTTATATCTACTTCTATACCGTTTTGTACAGCCACCCTCATCTGATCTAAAAATGCATTGGAGTTTGTTAACCTGTATTTCAGCTGCATTTATAAAACTATATTTTTCTTCTTTTTAACAAAGAAAAATGGAATACAAAAAAGTACATTATATTTGTCAGCATTTAAATGCTTTCATTTGCACTCTTTTTTAAACCTTAGTTAAACCTTTAACTTCTCCTGCTGTCATAGTCACAACAGTATTGCCGTCATTGTCGATTAATATAAATGCATAGTTAGAACTGACTTACACATTTGGCAAATTGATTCAGCGATCAACCATATAATGCAAATACATTAAATCACTAAAAACCATGAAATCATTATATTTATGAACTTTTATGTTTGTGAACATGAACTGGGAATAGACCCTGTGAACGAGAAAATGCTAACTTCCTGGTTTGAGACCGGATGTAGGGTTGTACGTTTCCGGTAGCTTTACTTTGCCGTCAATCGCTACTGCGAAGATATACTCCAAAATCATGTCCAAAACTCGAAAACGGAAAGATCATGTTAAGTTACAAAGAGCAGAAGGTGGGAACACTCACCACTGTTGTGTCATAAAAAATCTAATGATCAATTTTGATGTTTAAAGAGTTTAGATCGATCAGTAGTTTACATCACTCAACACAAGCAGAACTGCATTACTGCAGCGGAAGACACATCGTCCACATTCAGAAGCACATCTCTGTATAGTGACTGGTCTTATGATTTAAACAGGCAAATGTTCAGCATTCAAACTACAGGTGAAGAATAGTCAAACCAGATGTTTCCCGTTATGTCGATATCAGCTAGTCAAGTACACACCTACACAGCATGTTAACAAACCGTGAAAAAAAGCCACACAAAAAATGAATGATTGCTGGTGGGCTTCTATACATTAGTATTTATGAAGGGTATGTTATGACTTACCTTCAAAATTACCGTGGTCCATCGCTATAACGCGGTTCACCTTTCACGTCGCTGTTTTGCAGATTTTTTAGTGCAAGTTTGCATGCTTTTTTTTTTTTTTTTTTTACATCACATTGTGTCCTGATCGCTGCAGATGATCTCCTCCATGACGTCTCTCCTGTACAGTACAGAATCGGCAGGCTGTCAGGTTAAAACACTCGATCGTGTTTTCGTAGCGTAAACGCTGGTCCTCCTCTCAGAGCCTATGCTCTATCTGCTATTCCCGAACAGAGATACGCAAATTTCTCCGTGACTGCAGCTGCCAGTCAAAGCTTTTCATCCCAATTTAACATCACCGCGGTAGGAATTAGAATCAAACTTATGGGACAGGAGACCACTTGGACATCAATCAGCGTGATGAGAACTATTGATAACAAAAGAAAGAATCCTTGGAAAAAATTTATCTGAGGAGAATAAATTTATTTTATTCCATCCGCTAACATGGAGGAGGCGGGGTTTAATGACCTATACTGCAGCCAGACACCAGGGGGCGATAGAGACGTTTTGGCTTCATTTTTGAGGTGCTGTCGCGTCGTCTATCTTTTATACAGTCATTGGTTTATACACTAAAAAAATTGAAATTGCTTTGTTTTTATATTGAACAAAATAATTTCATGTTTCTATGGTGAACCTAATTAAATCATGTAGCATCTGCATGAAATTCAACAACTTAATTTGTTCTTGTTGAGATGACATGTTACAATCTAGTGAGAGTGCTTAGTTGCCTGGACTCACGAAATTCACAAGATCACATGAGATTTCAAACATCAGTAAAATCACTGTAATCTTAGCTTTCCTACTTTTTTTAAGCCTAGCTTGAGAGCTCAATGGTGTGGTGGTTAGTGCTGTTGCCTCACAGCAAGAAGGTCCTGGGTTCAAATTCACAATCAGTGTAGTTTCAAGTGGGTTCTCTCTGGCTGCTTTGGTTTCCTCACACAATTAAAAGTCATGCAGTTAATAGACCTAGATTAATTACTGTTTCCAATTTACCTATACGTGTGAATGAGGGCCAAATGGAACTCTGTCTCTTTGTGTTAGCCCTGCGATGGGCTGGCGACCTGTCCAAGGTTAACCCGCCTTTTATCAATTCTGGGTTATGCTCCAGCCGCCCTGCAACCCAGATAAAGATAGGAAGATCTCTTTTAATCACAGTTTCCTCCAAAAATGTGAGACGCTGTCAAAGATTTCTCTGCTGCTGTCTTTGGCTGAATAAAAGATTATATACACACAAAAACCAGGTTACACTTTCATTTTACCAATATAATGATCTGTAAATCATTTGCTTTATTTTTCAGATTTTAGTGTGAATCTAAAAAAAAAAACATTATCAGTTCTTCTACTTTAGTGCTGTGATAATATGACAAATACAGAGAAAAGAAGACAAACAGAGGTTTAGGAACGAAGAGGAAACGATCTGAGTGCTTTAGACCCAGACTACATGAACCATATCCACAGCCAGTGACATTGTAATTATGTACTCAACTCATACAGACTCAGGACTACCATTTCCAACTCCCCTTTGAAGAGCTCCACTTCTTACTCAGCTTCCTCCCTCCTCTGTTCATCTTTTACCTGCTGCTGGACTTCAGTCACTTTATCTTCAAACTTGGAAGAGAGAGAAGGGAATATAAGAAAGGAGGCTAATCTGTAATGAACGCCTACATAAGTTAAAGCAGAGTACATTTATTTGCAGAGCAGTCTCCCCCTGCTGGTTATAGAGGTTGAACAAACTTTGCTCCATTGTCTTCACTTTTCACACCCAGACCATAATTTGTTGAAGATGCATATGATTACAAGATTTATAACATTTATCTTGATTGTAAGATTTAAAGATGAAAAGTGCAGTGTAATTCTGGACAAAACACACACACACACACAAAATGTGTCAAATGCAATTTGCCAAACTTAGCTGCAGCTCCTGCTACACGCAGCCACTTTTAGTATTAGTATAGGTTAGTAATAAACTGAACTGAACACATGTAAATGAGGTGGGACCCACTATGTGCATAAATGGCTGAGGGGCGGAATCAACAATGACTTACTGAGGATGAATTAATCACTAAAAGTAACTTCTATTAAAGTATAAGTCAGATTAGAGTATTTATCATATTAGAGTATGTATGTATATGCTGGGTATTAACAAATATAAAACTGATATACCGCAATGCAATTTAACAGGAAAGGATTAAGATCACATTATAGATAGTTTGAGGAACTTCCAATGTAAAGTTTAGGCCATTTCAATAAATTTGTCCTCTAATGAAAAATCAGTAATGAAGACCTTGAATGCAGTTAAATTAAAGATATGAACCTTTATGTCTTTGGTCTCAAGCTCCTTCATTCAGGATTTCAGGGCCATCTCAGCATCCTGCCTCCTCTGCTTCTCTTTCCCAAGCCTCTGCTGTAGCTAAACTACAGCAGAGGCTGTAAAAATGGTGATGGTATATTTATATGAGTTCTGCATGCAATATAATTACATACAATAAAGTTGTAATGAGAAAAAAATTAATGTCAACTTTGTTTTTATATTGTGAAAATAAATCTAAGGAACAAAATATGAACCTCTTTCTTCTCGGCTTCAAGCTTCCTATTTATGGTCTGCAGCTCCTTCTCATCTCGTTCTCTTCTATCTTTCTCAGCACGGAGCTTCGAGAGTTCAGCCTCTTTTTCTTTTAACTCAGGGGAAAGAGAAACATTGAACACATTTAACTAAACAAATCAAATATCAAATATTTAACCTGATTATTTTAGTTTATATAATTAATGTAAACATAAAAAGACATTGAATAGAAACAGCAATTTCCAGAGAGAAACTGCAGCTAAAATATATTATCTTCAAAAATGTTGGTATTTGGAGTAAAATTCAAACCTGAATGTATAAAATAAAAGATATAAGGTAATAGGTTAATGTAATAATAAAAAGAAACGTGAAAATGAAGTTACCTTTTTATCGTTGGTCTCCACCTTTGTTTTCAGGGACTGCACGTTCATCTCAGTATCGCTCCTCCTCTGCTTCTCTTTATTAATATAGTGTTGATACTTCATCATTCAGCTGAGTAAGGAGAAAAAGATTTATGCTGTGGTGGTTTCAGGTTGTTTAATGTTTTGAAATAAATGTTTTAACCACTATCTGCTGTGTGTGTCCTGTGAGTAAGAGTACTCACTTTGAATGATTGATTGATTGGTAATTTATTTCAACATGTGAACAATATACAAGTACATTTAAAAAAGAAAATAAGAGAGAAAAAAATACTATACAAATTACATACAAAAAAACATTCTGATTAATTTACATGTTGAAAGGGAGTGGGAAGAAGTATACACTTATTTAATCACACCCCTTTGCCATAAATTATCTATGATAATGATTCTAAGTAACCTCAAACCATCGGATTCTTCATTGTAAGTAATGAAAAATTCACCTCATTATTCTTTGCTTCAAGTTTCCTCTGTGTGGTCTGTAGCTCCTTCTCATCTGCCCACCTCTTAACTTTCTCAGCACGGAGCTCGATGACTTCATCCTCTAGCTCTTTGACCTTGGAGAAAAGGAAAACATCAAAGTCATTCTTTCTGAAAGGGAAAGGTTTCTGTATTGTACTGCATAGGTTATCTACTGTATTTGTTCAGTTCAACTATGATAGGGGACATATTTACCAACCAAAATGATGGAATAAAGCCAGTATTGATTTCAGATTTGAGACAAAATTGCAGCGACCATCAAAAAACTAATAATAACATAAAGAAGAATATCAATATTAAAAACATCTGTATTCATTTAAAAAACAAAATATATGGAGAACTGAGATAGTTACATCCAGAGAGAAATTAAAACTGATTAATAAAGAGTGAGTTAATACAGAATCAATATAACAGAATATATGGTGTAATGGGTTAATGAAATGATACCAAAAATAAAAAAACTGAAGTAAATCTTTGTACTGTTGGTTTCAAGCCCTTTCTTCAGTGTCTCTACAGTTATCTCAGCATCCTTCTTCTTCTGCTGCTGTTCCCTGAGCTGATGTTGAACTTCAGCTAGTACATCATTCAGCTGTGAGGAGAAGGAAAATATATGAAAGGTATCTTTTCAAGAGTTTTCAATCTCTACTTTTTAAATTACATGTTAACATTTTAGGGGACAACAGATTGTAATACTTTGTTTATAAAATGCTTTGAAAACACATCAGATATCAGTGGAATAAAAAAAATCATATTTGATATCTAAAGATATAATTTAAAAAAAAATGTCAGTGGTCTCATGTCAACAGGCCCTATCTTAGCTTGAAAGCTTCATAGTACTAGAATGGTAAATCATGTACCTCTTTATTCTTGTCCTCAATCCTCAGCCTCATGGTTTGCAGTTCCTTCTCATTTTCTGTGCTCCTATTTTTGTCAGCACGGAGCTTCGTGACTTCATCAGTTTTCTCTTTCAACTTGGGCAAAAGGAAACATTATTTCAAAAGAGGAATATTTGAGTTGACTGTTAAGTGAAGT